CCCAAACCCTCAAATAAATGTTTTCCAAGTAGATGTGAGACATCAAGTACACAGCAGAGCCTGGGAAACTTCTGGATTTCCAGAGGCAAGGACCCTCCTATTGAGTCAACAGGACTTATAGCAGTGGTTCTCAACCTGTGGGTCACGACCCCTTTGGGGGGTCTAACGACCCTTTCACAGGGGCCACCCGATTCATAACAATAGCAAAATGAGTGATGAAGTAGCAACAAAAATAATTTTAAGGCTGGGGGGCGGGGGGCGGTCACCACCACATAAGGAACTGTATTAAAGGGTCACAGCATTAGGAAGGTTGAGAACCACTGACTTAAAGGGTACTTACTAGCCAGCCTAGCAGGGGCCAGGCCCTGTGTTGAGCAGCTTACAGGTGTGATGGTGTGTGATCATCAATCACAGCAGCCTCTGAGACCATAGATGTGCATATCAATGTTTGCCAAGGGGAGCGGCAATGAATGGCTGACCTGGCCCCAGCCAGGCACCTTTAAGGCCACTCTAGGCCCTGTGTAATACTGGTCTCTTAGCCAGAGGGACATTGAGAAGTTATATAGTTCAAGCTCCTCCACAGCCCATAGAATTTTAAAACTTACATGGAGAACTTAAGAAACTCCCCTAAGGCCCCATGGACAGTTTTCTGTTTTGTGAGCCCTAAAAACACCTAGACCTCTTCGAACCAAAGCCAGAGATCTGCCCTTCTCATTCCACCCTGCCTGTCTGGGACAGCAAGGCTTCTGGTCTCCTTATGCAAGTAGGAGCACTGGAGGTGAACTGAGACTCAGGATAGACACGAGGGCAAGCAGTCGCTCTGTGGCTTCACAGCCCCCCAGTACTCACACAGCTTCCACTATCACTTGCAACCTGACAGTCCGAGGCCTTGGGACTCTTGCTAGACCCAACTGGCTAACCCTCCCGAGAGAATACATTCTGCACGTGCATAAGAAAATGATGCACGAGGCTTTTGAATGCCAGGGGATTTAACACTCTTCAGACCGGACTTAGATAAGCTTTTCAATGATGGTTGGAACTACTCCCTAAGCCAGGAGATGGTGGCTGCTTGGGACCTCACACAATCACCGAGGGATCCTTTTAATGAGAACCTGTATGTCTCTTTTAGCAAAACTTGTACATTCATATTTGGAATTGGCATCCTGAAAAAAGATCGACTTAATGACAGGTATTACCTGGATGACTTTAAACTTCATTCTCCCGTTCAGCAGAAGCCAAACACAGCAAGACACTAAGCTAGGTGCTGGGATACAACAGTGAACAGACAGGATGCAGTTGGAGCCCTCAAAGAGAGGCATTGCAAATGA